TAGCCATAAAGGGGAGTTTTAGTGAAGGAGGATTGAGTGGAGCGCGGCGTGGTAACTTTCAAAAAGAGTTTGGTAAAAAGGGGTGGCGTTGAAGGAGGACTGGTGGAACGGGGTTTGGTGAATGGAGGGAAGGTGGCGCGGGGTTGGGTAAAGGGAGGGAAGGTGAAGCGGGGTGTGGTGAATGGAGGGAAGGTGGAGCGGGGTTGGGTAAAGGGAGGGAAGGTGAAGCGGGGTGTGGTGAATGGAGGGAAAGTGGAGCGGGGTTGGGTAAAGGGAGGGAAGGTGAAGCGGGGTTTGGTGAATGGAGGGAAGGTGGAGCGGGGTTGGGTAAAGGGAGGGAAGGTGAAGCGGGGTTTGGTGAATGGAGGGAAAGTGGAGCGGGGTTGGGTAAAGGGAGGGGAGGTGAAGCGGGGTGTGGTGAATGGAGGGAAGGTAAAGCGGGGTGTAGTGAAGGGGGGTCGTGTGAAGCGAGGTGTTGTGAAAGGGGGTGGGGTGAAAAAGGGAGTTGAGAAACGAGGTTTCGTGAAACGAGGCGTAGTGAAACGAGGTCTTCTTGTAGGCCTGGGTCTGGTTGGAAAAGGCTCGGGTCTTGAGTTGCAATAGTAGAAAAAGTAAAGCCAGTTTCCAATTACAATATAACCAGACTTTTGGAATCTAGTCCATCCTTTGAATCCTGGAGTCATACCTGGAACTGAAAAAACACAAATACACATACTCAACTCCTTCAATTTGCACAGTTGGGTTATTGTTAAATGTCTCTCAAGTAACTAAAACATAAAAAACATTGTTCTTTTAGGCCCTTTGAATGGTTTGTTTGAACTCTGGAGATCACATAACCTATGTCTAAGGCAAAATTGTGGGATACAACTCCAAAATTCGAGGGTTAGAAAGAGCGTGAAAAATAGTGGCCCTGTTAATTTTACGGTTTTGATTAACTCTTAGCAGTGCGATTTTATGGTAGCCTCGACACTGAGAGGAAAAAACGTGATGTTAGTCAACAAACACTTATCAGAAAATGTAACACCAGGAGCCGCCCATTCACCATCATTTAAAATCGAGAAGGGAAATGGAGCCGAAATGCGCCATGTAGCAATTGTTTCTGGAATCGTTACTGGGGACGTATCAGTCAGCGATTGACAATAGGCCATGTCCGAGTTCCAAAAAATCTCACTTTCAAAACGAGGCTAAGTGCGAAACCTTTGTTGTGAAAATGAGTTTTATTTGCATCATAATTAAAAATCATTTACATATCAATGGCTTTGCACTTAGCCTCGCTTTGAAAGTGAGATTTTTTGGAACTCGGAAATGGCCTATTTTTTCTCCTGCCTCTAGAACCAGTCCCAGACGTCTTTGCGAAAAACAACTCCTCCCAGTTTCCTTCTCCTTTCTTTAGTGGCATATAAACTCTTCGTCCTTCGCCCTTAGGGCCTGTTTACATGGAGTGGGGGACCCCGGTCTAGTGGGGTAAGTTTCTTTTGTTTTCACGCTCTGGGGGACACAAAACAAAAGAAACTTACCCCCCACGACCGGGGTCCCCCACTCCATGTAAACAGGGTCTTAGTAGGGAGCTTAAACAACTACGACGACGACGACAACTTCAAAAAACAATAGATTTAATGATCAAAACAACAGCTCTGCACGTGCATCACGCTTTTTAGTTCATTTCTTTGCCGTCCACCCGCACGACTACGACGTGAAAACTCCTAATTTGACGTTTTATGGAGGACGTGGACATACGACGACGAATTTTCCTCCCTCTTTTTGAACTTGCATAAAATCCTTAAGAATTCAACTCCAGGAAAAGTCGCCTGCATTTGACATATGAAAGAACGCAAATTCATTCTTTTTAGCGACGTTTCCTCTGCCGGCGTCGTCATCGTTGATTAAGGTCCCTATTGTGTCACACTCCAAATCTGGCTTCCAGCGAATTTTCTTATGCCATTTCGGTCCAAAATTGTTTAAGTTGCATCCCATATAACTTTTTGACATGAGTAAGGTGCGAATTTATTTACATTGATCGCGGATCATGGCTCTTGGGTTTGTCTTTTGTTTTGTATCTTAAGACTGTATTTCTTTCGATTACTTTTCACAAATTTTCTCTCTCCATATTTGAAGATTAAGACTTTCAACCAATATATTCGCATGCCATACTCATGTCAACCAGGAACTCTCTGACTAAAAATAGAACAACGGTAAAACTACTTTCAACAACTCACCAAAGCAACGACGAGTGAAACAATAGGAAGCTCTAAAGAAGAGACTGTTGGCATAGCTTGGAATGGCGATGGGAAGAGTTACTGGACGAGGATAACGAGAAAAAAATCGGCGGACGCTTTTTCTCGGATCGTCTACTTTCTTCGGGCCCTCTACGTCAGTGCTATCAGTTTTGTCGTTTATGTTCGATTTTAATAAATTATCAAGCGTCACATCTGTGTCAATCTTAGCACTGACAAGAACCAAAAAACATATGGCCAACACCAAAATTCCAAGCAAGCGCATTTTCGAATGCAGGAGTAGAATTCTAAGGGGAAGAAAAAGATTGGTGAACTTCGTTAAGACTGATACTGCTCAATATCGCCATCAATATTACCTTTATACAATCGGAATAATTAGTCAGCACTTTTCCGTATTGGCGATATTTCTAAAGGCTTTTAATAATTGTGAAAACCTCACCATGCAATAAAACAAAGCTAACAGAGACTTTCAGACTTGCGTTAGATTTCAGTCCATCCTTTAATTATAAGGGGCGTAATCTTTGGCCTTGTTGTAATTTGTTGGGAATTTAAGGCGGTTTCCGTGGAATAATTAGCCCATCTTATAAGGAAGGGAAAAAAGTGAGAAGACTCAGGCTTACATTTGAAAGTTACTGGTACTTGGCAATAAGATAGACGATGACAAAAGGAAGGCCAACACGGAGAAGAGGGCTGAGCGCCATTTACGGGAGGAAATGAGCTGCTTGGGACTAAAAATTACTACCGTTATACTAGCTCATCTATACTCGTGTCGTTCGGGTTGAAGGAGTTTTGCTGTTTGATTTTGCAACACTTTATCAAATACTTATCGACAAAGTTCTCCGTGGGTCTCCTAACTAATCCACACCCGGTAGCGTTCCAACTAGTTTAATTTTATTTTAGGAGTCGTCGGTTTAATAATGAACCTGAGCAAAATCTGTAGCTATAGCAGGCAATCCTGATAAACGACTCTGAGCAGAACCATAACTCGGTCGAAGTCAGAACATATATCATGCATTCCCGACGACAGTAAAAAGAAATATTGATCAAGGCGTCATTTTAAAGTGACAGCCGATAAAACTGATCTCAAGTCAGATACTACAGTGTAAAAATATAAAATAACAGAAATTGCAATGTTGGTTATTTTAAAAAAGTTAGAATTCATACTCACTGTTGTTATGTAACGAGGTGTCCTCAATAGGATAAGAAGCTGGTTTCTCTGGAAAAACAAAATTCTTTTGTATGTATTAACTCTTGTCAGTTTGGGTATCAAAATACTTCTGAGGTGCAGAACTGTACAAGGTGATATGTAATTGAAGCAGGCTTGCAGTTTCCAGTACACATAATTAAGAAACAACTGAACCTGGCGTTTCAATTAATCATTTGTCTCACAAAGGTTTGTACGCGTACGAGCAATATATGAGCTCAATCCCGACAAAATGATCTCATTGAACTGCAAGTCTGGAAAAGTTTCCGGGTCGTTTATGTGCGCCGTTAGAAACCTTGAAACAACAAAATAATACTGACTGAGTTATCACGCTTAATAAAACATCTAGCGTTTTTAAAGGTCTTGATAAAGATAAATATATAGAGTTTGCTGAAAAAGTACATAAAGCTTGCCAAGCTCATCCACGCACCAATGAATTGTAAAGTGATGATGCGTCGGCATTTACTGACTGGCAAAGGCAGTGCGGAACTGAAAACAATGCATGTTCTTTATATTTTAAAACGGTCTACACCAAATATCATTTACGCAGGTATGCTTGTCTGTCAGTTGATGTAATTTATTTCTGAATTTTTCCCGGAATTGCAAAACCAGATTTCTAAGAATTAACAAAGTCAGGGCGGGCGGTAAAACTGTAATTAGCCTACAGCTGCAGGGAACGACTAAGGGAATATTGCCTGATCGATACGCTCTTGGTCTGTATACGGATCTGTATAGTTAGCTTAAAAGTCCTTTGTTTCATTCTATGATGTCAAGAAACATCAATTAGTTTTTGCCGGATTGAATCACATGATCGGATCACTGTGCCCAGTCTCTCCTATCACTCTTATCAATTTGACTTCAACATTACATCGAACGGAAACTCACACTACACAGGCTAACTGGTCGCGATCGAGAGATGTTTGGCCAGCTTAATATAATTTCCATCTTATTATTGTATCTACACTTATTTTTAATTTCATTTTTTCCTTTGCAGTTGAAATTTGTATTAGAAAAAAACAGAGACAATTACTACACGTTCCCTTTTAAACTCCCCATGCAAGTACACTTGGACTGCAGGAGTGTCTCCTGACAGAGTGAACAGAAGTTTTGTCAAAGCAAATCGTGACGAGTCTGGCTACAGTCTTTAGCCATGTCAGTTGGTATTTCCGAACTCATGTATAAAATGTTGAAAAGTCTTGTTCACTTCACACTCAAATCAAGCTCGTAGAGAAAACTCTCACTTTATGAACATCTCTTTTAATTATTACGGATACCCCGATGACAATGACAGCAGATGAATTGACGGCAAAAATGTTACAGAGTTTCGGAAAAAAAAAACACCAAATATATTTTCTTCTGGACACTGTTATCCCATTCAGGACTTATTTATAACTGAAGTTTGTTGACTGCCGTTACGTATGTGTCTGACTCATTGTTCCCAGTGGTTTTCCAATTTCTTTTTCTCTTTTATGTAAGTGAACGCAACAATTAAACTACTTGAAAATTGAACCGCCTTGAAGCATGCCACTGGTTGTTGAATTGATCACCGTTATTTACAGACACTAATTAAAAGAAATTCCGCGTTCTAGAACGTAAATATAAAAACGCTTCAGGCTAATATCTCCGGCAAAAACCGCCGACCCTTGTCCCCATTCCTAAAGGATAAAAAAATTAACCCTTTTTTCATTTCTTTGGAAAACAAAAGTTTCTCAGCCTCTGTAAAATATTAAATTTCCATTGAAACAGTAAGTAGCCCTTCGAGCAGTGAAAAGTTGACTACAAGGGATTTGATTTTACCACATAAGCTTTCACGCAGAAGACAAATTAAGACAACATAAAGAAAAACACGTTTTAAAGAAGTAAATTATCTTTATTTCTCATGGTAATTAAAAGATACATGCCTTTACAGTGTTGTTTAAAGCGCTACCAAAGGGCGTTTTCCATTTGTCAGATTGACCGGCCAGACCATTCCCGTCGCAACGATAATTTCCCTTTTGATCAAACATGACTCTCCAGCCAGATCAGTCCAATCCTAAATAGTGTGCTTGAAGGAGATGGTTTTTCAGTAAAAACTCTCTGACTAAGCCTATTACATTTTCAAACTGACTGGTCGGGCAATGGTCCGGCAGGCTGGCTCTGACAAATGGAAAGCGTCCTAAGTTTCGTCGAATTTCGAATTCGACCACTTCCTCCGCTCGTTTAGTCACTCCGGCGGGAGAGAAGACCGCCTCTTTCCCCGAGTGACTTGGAGAGCGAATGAGGCAGCTGAAATCAAGCTAAACCTTAGTTTGGCGGGAGATTCTAGAAAACGCCCAGAGCAGTTTACTTAGTGTATATAAAAATGAACGTTGATTTGATCGCACATTTTATCCAAAAAAGCGGCTGGAAGGGGTCCTGGTGGGAGTAGGCGAGGGCCTCAATCGAGTTGGTCGAGGCTGAGGTCTTATCTTTGGACTGCAGTTCCAGAAATAGTAAAGCCAATTGTTGATCACCACGTATCCCGATTGGTACACAACTCGCCATGAAAGGAACCTTTGACTCAGGCCTGGCACTGAAAAGAAATAAATTCAGACGGAAATATTATTTTAATATCATAGTTCTACAGAGGATTCGAGAACCATTCTACCTTTTAAACTTTTAATTCTTAGATTAAAACAAATTACAAGGTCCTACGTGTTTGGTTTGGTTCTCGGCTTTATCAGTCGGTTTTAGGTTTAATCAGGCAATCAATCTTTAAATCAATCAATGAATCAATTTTTAGTAAATTAAAAGAACTACCGAAGAAAGGTATCATTCTGCTCCAAAACAGACGGACGGAAAATAAACAAAATTAACCGCATTCACAGGAATGTGCACTATTTAAAATTCGAGGGAGGATACATTGAACATTTAAGACAAAAACGTATGGTCACTAGCTTCTTGCAAAAGAGGACCAATGAAAGCTAATGAAGGATATCTTATGACTAATATACGCTTACCAAAGCATCTACGACGGAAGCAATATCTAACTTGAAAGAATCTCAAGTTGTGGTTTGTAGGAACGTTAATAGTGAGATAGAGTGGGCGCGGCCGAATAAACGGCCGTTTTCTGATATCTTCCTCGGCGTCTTCCTTTGTTGGTATCTTTGGGTCTTCCTCTGCGACTTTTTCCGGGTCTTCCTTCAGATAAGCGGTGCTGTCGAGATTCGCGTCCCTCGCTAATGTTTCTTCACCTCTCAAGGTTTCCGTATCCGTTTCGCTTTCAGCTTTGGTGTACTTAACCAAACAGAGGGCCAGGACCAACACAACGATCTCGTACAAGCGCATCTCTGGCTGTCGAACAAATATGGATGTGAAAAAGACTCAGAGCTTGTAAATTAAAATCAAACCAGCGAAGTATTCGTAGCGGAGCTACGTAAAAAATCTCTCTTGTAAAGTCAACAGCGCTTAGGCTCGTATAAAAATGATCGAAAAACAGTCTAGTAGTAAGGAAATTTCCTCTTCACGTTCATGTCTGGCCATGGATACTGAGTTAAATCAGTGGAGTGGACGCCAAATATGCACGCCTTCTTTTCTTTTTAATTCCAATAAAGGAATCGCAAAAAGTGGTCCTTTTTGCTCTTGAACTCGCAGATTCTCTTAAACTACGAAGTCAAGTTATTTTAATTAGATTCTCCAGTCCAATATAGTTTTCACACTATTTACAACCAGTAGAATGTAAAACTAAATTTACAGGCAAAGATATGTATAAAACTTAATAATCAGTCTAAACCAGTGAATTAAGCTATTCATAACCCGAGCTGACAGGAGAGATCTAGGCTAAAGGGAAAGAAAGAATTATAATGCGTTAAAACGAATCCTCACCTTAGCTGATCTGACTGCGATAATGCTCAGGTTTCAAAATGTTTTCTTTTCCTCGGCACGGTAGCAAAAGATGAACAAGCGCGTTTGCCCTCTGTTCTGAACAAAACAGCTTTTTTATACCATCGGTCACCACAGAAACGGGAACCTAGTACTTGAACTAATAATGGTTATTTCAAGAACTCACTGTTGTTACGTAGTGAGAGTGTCCTCAATAAAATAAGAAGCTCGTTCCTCTGGAAAAACACATTCTTTTGTATGTACCAACTCTTGTCAGTTTAAGTATCAAAATACTTCTGAGGGGTCGGACTGTACAAGGTATTACGTAATTAAAGCAGGTTTACAGCCCGGGGGTACTCCCTTATATAAGCCATACAGGTATGTGCCGCCCCATCGGGTAGGGTTTTGCACCGTTTTGGTCTGAAAACGGGTAATCATACACTTTGCCCATTTTGGTCTAGAATCGGGTATGGTTTTTGAGGGAACTATAGAGTGTATGAACGAATTTATCGTTTCAATTCCGAATTAGTAAGAAAGAAAGAGAAATATGCGAATTCGAAATGGATTGAATAATGTTTTTGTTCGCGTTGTATTCTAGGTAATGATAACATAAAGGCCAGGTCTGAAAACGGGAATGAATTTTAGAGGTGTAATCTGAAAACGGGTGTGGACAATTACATTTTTTTGGTCTGAAATCGGGTCTGGATTTTAAGAGCTGGGCGGCACACCCCCACCAAGAATTCCCAATAGTACCCCCCGGGGCTTACAGTCCAGTACACAACTAAACATGACGTTTCAATTTATCATTTGTCTTACAAACGTTTGTATGCGTACCAGCAATATAAATGCTAAATCACGACTAAATGACCTCATAGATAATAATGGTTAGTTTTCTTCACGGAAAATTGCAAGTCTGGAAATTACGGGTCGTTCACGCGGGACTGTTAAAAACCTTGAAACAATTAAACAAAATATAGTTACTTAGCGAGTGATCACGCTTGATAAAACATCTAGAGTTTTTAAAGATCGTGATAAATATATAGAGCTTGCTAAAAAAAATCAGAATTTTTAAAGCATGTTAAAGAAGCTCATCCACACACCAACGATTTTTAAAGTGATGAGTCGGCATTTGTTGAATGACAAAGTGCAGTGCGGAACTAAAAACAATACATGTTCTTAATATTTTAAAATGGTCTACCCCAAATATCATCTACGTACGTAGGCTTGTCGGTCAGTTGATGTAATTTATTTCTGAAATTTTCCCGGCACTAATCAGAAGTTTGCAGTGAACCAGATTTCTACGAATTAACAAGGCGAGGGCGGTAGGTAAAACTGTGATTAGCCTAAAGCCGCAGGGAATGAACAAGGGAATGCAAAAATTATCTCGATCGATTATTAAGAATCTCCATAGTCATTAAGTCCTTTGTTTCATTCTATGATGTCAAAAAAGTCAGTTAGTTTTTGAATGAATCACATGATCAGATCACTATCCGCAGTCTCTCCTCTTACCCTTATCAATTTGACTCAACCTTCGCGACGCGTGTTACGCAGGTAAATTGGTGGAGATCGAGAGTGGTTTGGCCAGCTTTTAATTTCCATCTTAGCATTGTATGTACAGTTAGTTTTATCTTCGACTTTGTAGTTGAAGTTTGTATTAGAAAAACAGGGACAATAAGTACATTCCGTTTTAAACCCCCCATGCAAGTACACTTGGGCAGCAGTCTCTTAGTGAACAAAAGGCAGATCGTGACGAGGTTAAGTCTTTAATTTAGCCATGTCAGTTGGTATTTCCGAACTCATGTATCACATGTTTAAAAGTCTTGTTCGCTTTACACTCAAATCAAGCTCCTAGAGAAAACTCTCACTTTGCGAACACCTCTTTATTACGGATAACAAAATGACAATGGCAACAGATGAATTCAGGCCAAAAATATTACAGAAATTTCAGAATAAAAAAAACACCAATTGAAATATATTTTTGTCTGTCCGCTGTACATGTTACGGTCACGCTTAACTGGGAAACCCGTGCAGTGCTTATTTACAATTGAGTGAAGTTTGTTGACTGTACATGTACAATTGTTCGCAGTGGTTTTCCAATTACTTTTATTTCTTTTACGTACGTGAATGCAACAATTAAACTTCTTGAAAATTGGATCGCCTTGAGCATGTCGCGGGTTGTTGAATCGACCACCGTTTACGAGGCACTAAAGAATTTCCGCGTACTAACTGACATAAATATAAAAACGCTTCGGGCTAATATCTCGCCAACCATGGTCCCTATTCCTAAAGGATAAAAAAATAAGACCCTTTTTTCATTTCTTTGGAAAACAAACGTTTCTCAGCCTAATATGTAAAATGTAAAATTCCCATCATGTAACAGTAAGTAGCCCTTCGATCAGTGAAAAGTTGACTACAAGGGATTTGATCTTACCACAAAAGCTTTCACGCAGAAGACAAACAAAGATAACATAAAGAAAACACGTTTTAAACAAATAAATGTTTATTTTTATTTTATTATGCCTTTACAACGTTGTTTAAAGCGCTACCTAAGGGCGCTTTCCATTGTCAGACTGACCGGCCACACCAGTCTCGTTGCAACGATAATTTCCCTTTTGATCAAAACTCTCCAGCTAGATCAGTCAAATCCTAAATAGTGTGCCGGAAAGGGATGGTTTTTCAGCAGAAACCCTCGCAAAAAGCCTATTACATTTTCAAACTGACTGGTCGGGCAAATGTCAGGCGGGCTACATTTCGAATTCGGCCGCTTCCTCTGCTCGTGTGGTCACTTCGGCGGGAGAGAAGACCGCCTCTGTCCCCGAGTGACTTGCAGAGCGAATAAGGCAGCTGAAATCAATATAAACTTTGGTGTACTTAACCAAACAGAGGGCCAAGACCAACACAACGATCTCGTACAAGCGCATCTCTGGCTGTCGAACAAACGAATATGTAAAAGACTCAGAGCTTGTAAATTAAAATCAAAACTGCGAAGTTTTCTTAGAGTAGCTACTTAAAAAAATCTCTCTTGTAAAGTCAACAGCGCTTAGGCTCGTGCCAAAACTGGGGATCCAAATAACTGAGTCTAACTAAATTTCCTATTCACTTTCATGTAATACTGGCTATGGATACTGGGTTAAATCAGTGGAGTGGACGACAAATATGCAAGCCTTCTTTTTTTTAAATTCCAATAAAGGAATCGCAAAAAGTGGTCCTTTTTGCTCTTGAACTCGCGGACCCTCTTAAAATACGAAGTTAAGTTGTTTAGCTTCTCCAATTCAATATAGTTTTCAACCAGTAGAATATAAAAGAAAATTTACAGGCAAAGATATTTATAAAACATAATCATCAGTCTAAACCAGTGAATTAAGCTATTCATAACCCGAGCTGACAGGAGAGATCTAGGCTAAAGGGAAAGAAAGAATTATAACGCTTTAAAACGAATCCTCACCTTGACTGATCTGACTGTGATGACGCTAAGGTTTCAAAGTGTCTTCTTTTGCTCCCACGGTAGCAAAAGAAGAAGAATAAGCGCGTTTGCCCGCTGATCTGAACAAAACAGCTTTTTATACCATTGGTTACCACAAAAACGTGACTAGAACTTGAACCAATGTTGGTTATTTCAAGAACTCTGGTTTCTCTGGAAAAACAAAATTCTTTTGTATGCACTAACTCTTGTCAGTGTAGGTATCAAAATCACTTCTGAGGGGCCGGACTGTACAAGGCATCACGTAATTGAAGCAGGCTAACAACCCGGGGGGAGGGTACTCCTTTATATAAGCCATATAGGTATGTGCCGCCCCATCGGGTAGGGTTTTTACGCCGTTTTGGTCTGAAAAAGGGTATACACTTTGCCCATTTTGGTCTGGAATCGGGTGTGGTTTAAAAGGGAACTATGGAGTGTAAGAACGACTTTATCGTTTCAATTCCAGATTAGTAAGTAAGAAAGAGAAATATGAGAATTAGAAATGGATTGAATAATTGTTTTGTTTGCGCTCTAATCTACTAGTAGGTAATGATAACATAAAGGCCAGGTCTGAAAACGGGAATGGATTTTAGAGGTCTAGTCTGAAAACGGATGTGGAAAATTACAGTTTTTTAGTCTGAAATCGGGTCAGGATTTGAAGAACCGGACGGCACACCTCCAACAAGAATTTCCAGTAGTACCCCCCCCCCCGGGGAGGGGGCTTACAGTCCAGTACACATGGCTATTTACAGTTGTGGGCTTGGTGCCCTAGCCTTTGAGAGAACGTGAGGCTGAGGTTGGCCTTGTTTTGATACAAACCTCATTCCTTTTATAATGTAAATTTTGCTTAAAAAATACTAGTCAGCATAAGAACAACATGATTTACATAATAAAGCAGGAAGGGTTGTATCAAAACAAGGTCAACTCCAGCCTCGTTTCCACCTGTAACTGTAAAATCGGCTATTCAAAATCAACTAAACATGACGTTTCAATTTATCATTTGTCT